ACAATCACCCCCCGCAACACCTGCCGCCGCGCCGCCCTGCCCTTTTCCGGGAAACCCCGCTGGCTTCACCGCTTCCGCCCAGCACCTTCCGGGCTAGAGCCGGCCGGCCTTCCTGAGGGCTTGTCAGGCCGCTACTTCCTCCCATCTATGGTCTTCTCGGAGGACTCCTGTTTCGCCCGGCGCTAATCCTGTTTCTGTTGCAGTCAGCCCCCCGCAACACCTGCCGCCGCGCCGCCCTGCCCTTTTCCGGGAAACCCCGCTGGCTTCACCGCTTCCGCCCAGCACCTTCCGGGCTAGAGCCGGCCGGCCTTCCTGAGGGCTTGTCAGGCCGCTACTTCCTCCCATCTATGGTCTTCTCGGAGGACTCCTGTTTCGCCCGGCGCTAATCCTGTTTCTGTTGCAGTCAGTAAAGGAGGGGAGAGCTCGCCAGTTAGCTGAAGGGGCCGGTTCTCAAGGCATGGAATCCAGGCCTTACCAGGCGTTCAGATCATTGGGCCGCCTCCCTCTGGGAGGCAGTTTTAATTCACATATCCCCCCATCAGCAGGCTGATGGATTTTGCTGCAAATTTTTTATATTTGATTCAAAGATCTCACCAGTGTTTGTGTGAAATTTCCCTCACAGGTGCTAATCCCAGGTTGGTCTCCATTGGAGCCACCATGTGATGTGCTGCTCACCTATGTGAAGGACGTCAGTGTAGACTCTCGCGGTAGTTGGTGATTTTCTTAAAACCCATGCTTATGTTAGCATATGGAGTAGTATAATTCCAGAGTCTAGGGATTTAAGAAGAAAAAAAATCCCTATTGTTTACTGTTTTTATAAAAAGAAGTAGTTTCTAATCCTCAAAACTTGAAATCTTGCATCTGATAGGCTCAAAAGACATGAGGAAAAAACCTCAACATGTATGATTTAAATCTCAGTTTTTGAATCCCAAAAATTGGGTGAGTAGAGGGAGAGACTGAATTTGTGAATATTGGGATTGGCAATACAGGCAGTCCCCAAGTTACGCGGATCCGATTTATGTCGGATCCGTACTTACGAACGGGGCTTTTCTCGCCCCGGAGGACGCGGGCGGCGGGACTGCCCAGACGCGCCGCGGTCCCGCCACCCGTGTCCTCCGGAGCGAGAAAAGCCGCTCCCCCTCTCCCTGGTCGTCTGGGGGGGTAGAGCAGCTCGGGCGCTGCTGGTTGGTCCCGCAGCACAGCAGCACCCCAGGTGCTCTGCCCCAGGCGTCCCCAAGTCAGCCGCTGCTGAAACTGACCAGCAGCTGAGTACAGAAAGCCTGAGGCAGAGTTGGGACTCATATTAGGACTCACATTCTTTTGCTTCCATATTATTAGTTGTGACAACCCATCCTGAGTCTAATGGAAGCCCCATGCAAACTTAATGGCAACACCAGCACAGGGAATTAATTGCTTCCTAGTAACTTTTGAGGGGACTTCTTGTGCTTGTCTGGCAGATGTGTTGAAGCTGGATTTTTTTTAAATTGTTCTTCTCAAAAATTATATCAGTTTAGGGATCTGAACAAATAGCAGCCAGATTAATTTAATTTAGTTACTCTCCCCAGCATAATAGTTGGAGTCAATTTGCTTTGTCCTAGAGTCAGGCTTCCTACTTTGTTGCCAGGATTGCCTATGGAGCCCTTTTTAAAAATCTATGCCATATTAGCCATCTTCTAGCTATCTTGTACTAAACCTCCTCTGCTGATACCTCAATCTGGGACAGTTTCTCAGATTTCTCCCCAACAGCCTTGTCTTCCTTGATTGCTCTTTCAGCACCTCCACTGTCCAATGGCCCCTATTAATTGTTTGGTAGGCGTCCTGTTTTTTACATATTTAAAAAATGTCTGCTGTTATTTCTTATTTCTTTAGCTAATTGCTTTCAAATTCTTTTTTTTTTAAATCTGTCTAATGTTACCCACTGCTCCTTTGGGAAAGTCATTCTGAAAAAAAATTAAAGGAAGAGCTTAACTCTATTGAAAGGTACATGGTAAAATTCTTGAGCCAAAAAAGATTGAAATATACGTGTGCAGTAGGCATAGGTACAAAGGTTTATAATCACGGTACCTGGGTGTCTCAAGGAGATATACAGAAGTCATTGAACTTAAACTATGCCCAGACACGGTGAGTTTGAACCTTATCCTTGGTAAAAAGCTGAGAAGGAGCTGTAGGCAAGTAGTTGCCTCTGCTAAGGGCTTTTATTCTTTTGGAAAATGTACCCTGCTAATTTGTACAGCTAATTTAGAAAGGACTGTAACTAGTCCCTATTAACAAATAGGGAGAAACTGGCTGAGAATTTGAAAGTGGAAGGCAGCTGGAGTGAAAGTGATCATGAAATCATAGCGTTCATGATTCTAACGAATGGTACAGGGAAAACAGCAAATTAGAAACAATGGATTTCAGGAAGGCAGATTTTGGTAAGCTCAGAGAGCTGGTAGGTAAGGTTCCATAGGAGCAAAACTGAGGGGAAAAACAACTGAAGAGAGTTGGCAGTTTTTCAAAGGGACATTATTAAGTGCCCAAAAGCAAGCTATTCTGCTGCACAGAAAAGATACAAGATATGGCAAAAGACCGCGTTGGCTTAACCAGGCGATCTTGCGTGATCTAAAAATAAAAAAGGAGTTATGTAAAAAATGGAAACTAGGACAAATTACAAAGGATGAATGTAGGCAAACAATACAGGAATGCAGGGGCAATATTAGAAAGGCAAAGGCACAAAATGAGCTCAAACTAGCTACAGGCATAAAGGGAAACAAGAAGACATTCTATAAATATATTAGAAGCAAGAGGAAGACTAAGGACAGGGTAGGTCCATTGCTCAGTGAGGAGGGAGAAACGGTAACAGGAAACTTGGAAATGGCAGAGATGCTTAATGACTTCTTTGTTTCGGTCTTCACCAAGAAGTCTGATGAAGGAATGCCTAACATAGTGAATGCTAGTGGGAAGAGGGTAAGTTTAAAAGATAAAATTAAAAAAGAACAAATTAAAAATCAATTAGAAAAGTTAGATGTCTGTAAGTTACCAGGGCCTAATGAAATGCCTCTTAGAATACTCAATGAGCTGATAGAGGA